CGTGGGAGTGCCCTCGGGACCCCGAACCCTGGACCTAACTGAGGGGGGCCCTGTTGTCTGTGCCTGCCACACCTGTCTTGGACTGTATTCCTGTCATCCAAATAAACCTTCTGCTTTACTGGCTGGCTGAGAGTCATGGTGAATCGCAGGAAGCCGGGGGTGCAGGGCCCTGAGTCCCCCAATACTCCGTGACAATGTGCCCCTCATGAGCAGTTCTGGGGAGTCTTTTGGGGCTCCTGGAGTAGGCAGTGGAGAGGTGCAGCCTCACCACCAAGTCTGTTTCTGTGGGGGGGAGAGGGGACTGCAGGGTGATATCCCACCTCTGTGCATCCAGGAGCCTGCGCTGCCCACTGCCATGCTGGAGCCTCCACATTTATTTATTGGCAAATATAATTTGCAGAATTTTAAAATATTGTGCACAGAATGTTTATTGTGCAGAATCTCCTCAGGAGTGAAACCTACTCAGGGAACCTCCTTGGATTGTCACTGCTTGGTTAACCACTCAGCCATCACACCAATGCCTAGAGAGAGTGCCAAGCCCTACTGCTATGTGGGGGTAGGGGCTGGGGTTGGGTCATATACATTCAGACTGTACGCTCCCCCAGCTACAAACTGCTGCTGATTTCCCATTTAGGACATTAGCCTTTACTGACAAAGTTTGTCTGTGTTTTTTTTTTTCTCTCATGCTGCTAGTTAGAAAGATCAGTATTGATTTTTTTTTCAAAAATACACAACCTCCAAAACCTGCTTTTAGCAATCAGAATAATTTAGAATAATTCGCCTGTCCCAGTACAAAAGAAGAGGCTTTTGTGACTTTCCTGACACAAGGATGAAGAGGAACGTGCATCGGTCCACACGCTGTGGGTCGTTATTGAGCAGAACCCATCATTGGCATTGGTAGTGTAGACACAGCCTCAGACTCGGGGCTTGCGAGGGGGAAGTATAGCCTCTAGAGGCACACAGGGGTGGTGTGGAATTGTCCCAGGTCACTGGGTGGGGGCTCGAGCAGGTTTTGTGTTGTGTTGTTGAAAAGGATCCCTAAAATATTGAACCCGTCCCTTGCTGCTGCCGACTCCAACTGGCAGAAGGGTTACAGAGAGAAGTAGAAAGAACAGGAGTACTTGTGGCACCTTAGAGACTAACAAATTTATTAGAACATAAGCTTTGGTGGACTACAGCCCACTTCTTCGGATGCAACTGTAGTCCACGAAAGCTTATGCTCTAATAAATTTGTTAGTCTCTAAGGTGCCACAAGTACTCCTGTTCTTTTTGTGGATATAGACTAACATGGCTGCTACTCTGAAACCAGAGAGAAGTAGGGAAAGGGGAGGAGCACCAGTGAATGTATGCAACTATTCAGTGAGGCAGGGGCCTGGCAGGAAGGAAATACCTGTGCAAGCCCCCTTGGCAAAGAGGGGGATCTGTGATCACCTCTGCACTGGAGATACAGGCCAGGAATGGGGCAGTAAATGGAGTGGGGCAGATTTGGGAGTTGGGAACCCCTCTCCCCAGGTATTTCCCCTGCAGATCTTTTTCAGTGTCTCTCTCTCCTCTTTCCCTGTCTAACCCAGTGGTTCTCAATCTTTTGAATTGGTGACTCCTTGCACAAAGCAAACATCCGAGTGTGACCCCCATTGTCAATTCAAAACAATTTTTTTTAATATTTAACATTATTTTAAATGCTTAATTTATAACCTGATTCTTTAAAGTGAATTTACCATTTCTCACCACTTTTAAATTAAGCCGAAAACACACTTTGATTGAATTATTGTTATAAGCAGAAAAGGGGTTTTAAACTAGTTACTGTTTAATACTGGGGTTGGAAGACATTTGTCAATATCACTTTTCACAGCCGACTTTGTGCTCCATTGCCACCCTCACTTCTGCACTGCTTAGGGTTACCATATCTCATAAATAAAAAAAGAGGACCCTCCACGGGCCCTGGTCCCGCCCATTTTCCCACCCCTAGCCCCGCCCCAACTCCACCCATTCCCGCCCTAACTCCGCCCCCTCCCCCCTCCCACTCCCAGCCAGGGGGAAAGGGCTGCCCCAGCGCTACCGGCTTCAGGGTTTGCCGGGCAGCCCCCAGACCCTGCGCCCCGAGCTGGTGCTTCCCCAGCCGGGGGCGCAGGGTCTGGAGGCTGCCCGGCAAACCAAGAAGCCAGTAGCGCTCGGGCTTTGGGCAGCCCCTATGCCT